ATCCAACACAGCAAAAAATAAATAAATAAATTATACACCAACAGTGAACTACCGGAAAGAGAGATTGAGAAAACAACCCCATTTACAGTTGCATCAGAAAGAGTAAAATGCCTAGGAATAAATTTAACCAAGGAGGTAAAAGACCTGTAGTCAGAAAAGACACTGATGAAAGGATTGTAGAAGTTTGGTGAATCCAAAATCTGACGGGGTGGGCTGGCAAGTTAGAGAGTCAGGGAAAAGTTGCAGTTCAAGTGTAAGTGCGTTTGCTGTCAGAATTCCTTCTTTCTTAGGGACAGTCTTTGTTTTATTAAGGCCTTTAGCTGATTGAAAGAGGCCCATCCACATTATGGAGGTTAATCTGCTTTACTCAAAGTCCACTTAGTTAACTGTTAATCTCATCCAAAACACACCTCACAGAAACATCCTCAATAATGTTTGACCAAATATCTAGGCACCGTGGCCCAGCCAAGTAGACACATAAAATCAACCACCACAATGGATAAATTGCTCAGTGTGAGAAGTTAGCGCAACTGGATTTGCCATGGGAGATGGGCAGGAGCAAAAGAGAGAGAGAGATCAGTCAACTAGAGGCTTTCAAACTGTATTTTTTACATTGCGCCTTGTCACATGCATGCTCTTGTGTACATAACTGAAACAAAAGCTACGCTTCATCTCCTCTGCTCTTTCTTCTCTTCCTTTTTCTTGCATTCCATTACACTCCATTCCATCCTGTCCTATACCATCCCATTCTATTCTTTATTTAATTTTTGAAAATTTTCATCTTGACCCAGTAAATGGATTTCATTGCCACTAATGGATCACAAAACTCCAGTGTGCAAACAAATGAATGTATAATTTACATGTGTGTGTGTGCGTGCACACGTGCATGCGTGTAGTAAATCAAAGAAGAAGCTGACAGGTCAGGAAACAGAGACAGCACACTTTAGACCTTGAAATGATCCATAAACCAAGAGAATGAGGTGATTGTGATGATGCGAGCAGCCTTGCCTCCTTTACCCCCGGGGCTGCACATGCCCTCAAAGTTCACGGAAATCCTGGGGAGGGCTTTGGTCTTTCACTGGGCATGGAATTAGGGATCTGGGCAACTGCATGCAAGAGAGATCTCAGGGGACATGGAAGCCCCGCTGATTACCTGTGTTACAGAAGCTATTCTCTCTACATTTAACCTTTCACAACACCTTAGCCAGTTCTGGTTGTGCTTATCCGTTTATATTTCATACTATAGAAACTGTGTATTTATCTACTCCAATGGTTGTAACCTAGTTTCAGTCAGGGATCATGTCTGAGGTACGATTTTTATATCCCATATTGATTAGTATAATACCTACACGGAGTAATAACTCAAATGTGTGCTTTATTTTATGCATATAAAACTTTTTACTAGTAACCATAATAACATTGACTTGTTATGGGTGGCTGAATAAATAAACTGTATGAAATCTCCTAACCATTCTCCTATGGTTTAGATATAGCAAATATAATTTCTCACTTAAGTTACAAAATATTGTTTTTTATATATATATATATATATATATATATATATATATATATATATATATTACAAAAGAATCAACATCAATGCCCAAGTGACTGTGTGGATTCATGCTGAACATATTACAAAGTAGTGGCTCCAAATTAGCCATGAAAGGTGAGGTAGGGTTCAGCAATGGAATGTACAGTCTGTACTAATGTAAGCTTTAAGGGCCCTGAGGATGATCAATTATGCTAACCCTTCATGACCACATCTACCTCATGAATTGGTCTCTGGTCAAGCTGAAGAGCTCAGAGGAGTCTGGGGCACAGCAAGGCTGCCCTTGAGATGTTTGAACTGACCTGAGCCTTTGGTGCAGTCTGAAAGCTCTAAGGGATCTGGACATCACAGTAGCTCATGGCACAGACTTACAGTGCCCTGCAATCCTCTCCAAGGTAATAGATTACAATATATGCATGTAAACTGTAGCTCTAATAAAAGGGGGCATCATGATGGCTATACATATTTTTAAGCAATTCTGGAGTATTCCCTGAGTGAACCTGTTTTTGGCATACCTGCTTAAGTCTGATGTTGATATTATCATGGCCTCATAAAACTGAGTTACACACACACACACACACACACACACACACACACACATATGAATTTACCACAGTGAAACTATAAAAGGGAAAGATCATGTAAAAGTTGTTCCTGTAGGAGGAAAATGTATTTTATTTTAGAAATAGACAATCATTCAAGTGTATGGGCTGTGTAGGTGTTCATTGGTGAATTTAGACTAAACAGGAAGTGACGTAAATTATACTTATTACACTACTGGGAGAGAAATATATTAAATCCAGGCAGCACTTGGACAAAGCACAGGGAACTCATTGTGTTGAAGGAAATCATGCAACTTTGGTGGGAAGACAATGTACTATATGGTATGAAAACCATCAGTGGCCTTTTGGGACTGAAGCAGTTTTTTAGGGAGTATAATTTTGTTCTAGCACTGAAATAGTTTTGTTTTTTGATAAAGCTCCAAGGTATTCTCATCTTAATCACATTGCTATTTCTATACTTTTAACTCTTTCATGCTGTTGCTTTGTAGTCATTAACGTGGAGAGAAACAGAAACAGTGAAACCATCAATGTTCAGATTAGAAATCTCAGCTATGGCAAAACATCCAGAGGAAATGTGTAAGAGCTGAGGAAGTTTCAGAATTATCCAGCACCCATATAATTCCACCTACTGTTGAAGTATCCAGCAATCACTTGGGAGAAGAAACACTGACAAATAAATTACCTTGAACGTAGGATAGTATCGGGTGATCTATTCCATGAGATTTGCTTCATGGGTCTATGCTTATGACCAAGTTTCCTAAGGCAGACTGAAAAACAAACAAGAACAAAGCTGTAGAGCTGGCTTAGCTGCTTGTGTGGCCTAAAGAGAACGCTCAGGAAATCAGGCCAAAGACATGTAAATCTGATGTCCAAGTTCCCACTTGGTTACAAAGTCACATCCAAAAATGAAGTAAGTGAATGAATTAGGTTCAGCCTTACAAGTTACTACCATGCTTCACCAGAGTGTTAAACAACAGAGACTATCCTAATTTATTGGCTTTTGCCTGAATGGATTATTTCTAAAATGGCACGACTAAAATGTTCATAAATAGTTTAGTAAAAAAATATACTTACAGTTTGTTGCCTCAATTGTCAAAGAATCTTATCATCATTTAGTGAGTGATTTCTTCTGTAGAGTTGGTGTTGTGATCACCATGAAAGTGCCAAGGAAGCTCGCCCTGGGAGAGGAATCATTCTCTTAGGACCCCTTCAGATGCTCAAAGCAACCAGGCTTGGAAAAGTCAAATATACAGTGAACTGAGCTTCCAACCTACATGGAAGGAGCGGCCTGGATGGAGTGGAGAGTGATGTGCAGCCCTCATGGCTCTCCTTGCACAGCGTCCCTGAGTGGAACCCAGTGATTTCACAGAACTCAAAGTTCATTTACAAATGGATTTGAGTCAGGAATAAAGTGAGTCAAAATCAATTTCAATCTCTGATTTTTATGAGTTATTAAACTACACTACGGTTTGCCAAGTATGAAGAATAGCATTTATTGGATTTATTTTTATTTGTACATACATAATCAAAGGTATTTGTCGAACATTTCTGTGATATTCATCACTACTTATTCTCTCTATCACCTGGACCCCCTGCTCTCCACCTTCCATCCTTTCTCCATCCCCTTAACTTGTAACCCTTCAGTAGCCTAAGACACCAATCCTGGAACCAGACTGACTGGGAAAGTTGCCTGAACTCATTACCTTACTTTTACCTCTGTAAAATTAGGATAATAACAGAACCTAACTCAGGATTTTTGTAATGAATAAAGGGAGCAAATATAATACTTAGAACACTGCCTGGTATCTAGGAAGTACTCAAATATTGTTTTACTTATCATCTTCTTATATAATTGTTAGTAGCATTTACTACCATTCTCATTGTTGAATGGATTCTTCTAGTAGGTCTCCAATTGAAGGACACTAACAGGAGGATACAGTAAGCCCCCTACATATGAACCTTTAAGTTGTGAACTTTCAAAGATGCGAACACGCGTTCGCATGTCGAATCACCGTGTCTGGCGTACGTTGTCACGTGTGTGCGTTCTCTACAAGTGGTTGTGCTTTTGTGTACTTTATTGTACAGTACTGTATAGAGTACAGTAGTACAGTGTCTTTATTCCAAACCCAGGATGTCTGGAAGCATGGGTGAAAGCGGAGGCGATATAGCTGGTACTACTGTACTTTTCAGGGTACTGTACTGTAAGATTAAAAATGTTCTATTTTTTGTGTTTGTTTGGTATTGTGTGAAAAATATTATAAATCTATTACAGTACAGTACTATATAGCTGATTGTGTTAGTTGGGTACCTAGGCTAACTTTGTTGGACTCAAGAACAAATTAGATTTATGAACGTGCTCTTGGAACGGAACTCGTTCGTATGTAGGGGACTTACTGTACTTAGATTTTTCAAGTGCTTTTTTAGCAATTATTTAAAAGATAGTCTACTCATTAATGGTCTTATTTTCAAAACCCTTATAATTGTTTTCTTAAAAAATTTACAGAAATAAACTAGCATTGGCGTGTGTTAAATGGATCATTCTACACTTAAATGAGCCACAAAGTCTGAAAAATATTATAATTCATTAAATTATACAGATTTAATTTTAGGTTCTGAAAAATATCTCTTTTTCGTATCACTTCATATTTCTGGACCACTTTTTAGTTTTACATTCATTAAAATATTGTTAGGAATCCCTCTTTAGGTCCTGGGTGTTATGAAATAAAACCCTGTCCATTTTTTAGTATAGAGGCTATCTTGTTCTGTGTTTTAAATTACTATACACAAATGGTAAAACTTTTCATAACAAAGGTTTAATTAGAATGGTTAATAACTATGATTTCCAAAGTGTCTGGATCAGCCTTAGTAATAATTAGGGAGTTTCGTTCCATACAAAATGCTTTATTTAACCTTCATGCCTTCATTCAGATAATTATACAAATGCATACAGTTAAAGGTTTAAACTCTATTTCGGTTCACAGCTCAATTCATAGGAAAGTTGAATACAGAAAAGCAATGCACCAACAGAATATGTCTGAGACACCATTAAAAACGATAACACTTGTTCATTTACATCTCTGAGAATAGACTGGAATAATCATCCTCTGAGAGAATCTCATTAGGAGGGTCTCCCTTTACGTTATCATAGGGCAAAAAAAAAAAAAAAAAAAAAAAAAAAAAAAAAAATCACCATTTTACAGTAAAAGGAAAAAAGCTCTGAGTATATTTACAATACATACACTATACATAAATACAAGAACAACACTTACATAATATTAATAAACTTATAACAGGGGTTGCCTAAACACTACAGAGTATATAAATGCAGAGGAAACTATTGGGAAATTAGATCTTTAGATAAGCTGGAGAAATAAATTCATTTGCAATTAAAACTCTGAACAGAAAACTAAATGAAGATTTAAGAAATTAACACATTTGCTTCCCAGCATTATTGGGGGGGGGGCGGCGGGTTTATCCTTTAATTCGGGAGGACCTCCTCTGGGCATTCTAACTCTCTGGGGTCAGAGACCCAGGAGCCTTTTGTAAAATTACACCTGTAAAGTGAATCAGACGCAGCACATCTATTCAATTTGCTGTTCAGAGGCTTCAAGCCTAGAATAACTGTTTTGTAAACGAAAGGATGTTTTTTGTATTTTTACACAGCTCTTGTAATCCAATCACCATGTATAATGAGCTAAGTGTCAAGGAAAAGGAAAAAGATGCCTGCTTGATTTGGTCAAAGATGATATTTTTCTTTATTCTCATGTGTTTTTTCAAATACCACCAAGAGATTTATTCAAAAGAAGATGACGTTTGAATTGAATCCCACACACCAAGAGCAACGTCTAGACTACTACTAATTATAACTAAGTCATTTTAAGTGGCAGGTGGGTATCTTAAACGTGGTCTGTTCTCATCGTTTCACAACACAAAGTTCTGAGTACATTCTTCTATGGACAAACATGAATTTGCTGGTTTCTCTCTCTCTTTTTTTTTTTTAAATGAGCATGTTATGATACACATAATTGCATTATGATACAGGATGACATAATACAGAAGACGATGTTTTCAAGCTGGTTTTGTAAGTAGTTATCTCACATCCACGGGGAGCTGGTTTGCCACGTGATGCAATGTGTCCCACACAGACATGAACAAAACAATACAGCCACCATTCCATGGGTCGGGGGCGGTGATGGTAATTATTTAAAATGAAGTTTTAAACACAACAAAGTGTGGACAGACAAGTTGATAGGAAAGAGCCTTGAATATAGGCACCAGTGCCCCAGTTCAACAATACCCATCCAATGTAATCAAGTCTGAGGGACGAAATATACCCTGTAGTCTGGATGTAATTACAAAATTCTGTTATGGAAAAACTAGCGGGGCAAACACAAGTAGGACAAAAGCATTTCCTATAATGTTTTATGCTATAGCTTAGGAGTATGAAATTAGCAGAAAGGGAAGATGTTGGTATATCCCTAAAATACCCTACTTTTTGATTACTTGAGCATTTTGACTAGAATTTGACCCAAATTCTACCCTCCTCTTCACCCTTACTTGGAAAAAGCAAGATATAATAATTCATACAAGGAGTCCATTCATTGGTTCTTGCTTTGCCCAAAGGGCAGACTGTTGCCTCAAACATTTAAAATTTCTAGAGAAGTAATCCAGAAAGAAAAAGTACCGATGTGACTATTTTCACTATTCACCTCTTTTCAACTCACTTAGAGTTGTGGTTTTTGTTGTTGAGAAATTATTGCTTGTGAAACCCAATTCACTGAGGAGAAAGCCCCTTTCTGCAGTGGGTTGTGTGCACATGGAACACTTGCTGTCAGCATGGAAGGGAATTTGCTTATACAGGTTTTATCTCTTCCCTCAGCCAAGTAACATGGAAAACGATCATAATTCAGGAGATTCATTTTCAGAAAAAGAAATACCATGAGAAATGACACTCTCTTAATGTTTTCTAAAAGTCCATTAGTATTTCCATAAATCAATACTGTCAGAGACCTTGTTCTACATAGAAAAGGGGGGTCGGGGTCATTTCTCTGAGGTTGGACAGCTTCCTACGTAAAATTCAATTAACCTAACAACAATACTAAAAACAAATTACTTATAAGGCTACTGAAAACATTCCAAGGTGGTCCTGTTAGGTGAGAAATCTGAAAAGGAATTGTCCGTTCTCTCTTCTTGATCATCTGAATGTTCAAGATGGTCTCCCCATTCACCACCGCCAAGAGTGGGCTCTGTTATTAACGACTAGCTCCATGGAGGTGAACATTTCAAATGTAACTTAAACATACTCTAGAAGGTCTATACAGGTGGAAAGCCTTCTAGTAAACCTAGAAAGAAATATGCAGAATCGAGAAAACCTGCTCTGTCGAAAATGCTACAAAGTAGGGAAGAGTTTTAATGATTTTGGATCTCCAGGCCAAACATTTTAAGAGGCAAGTGACAAGTTCAGGGAGACAGCTGGCTGGTGCTGTTTGTTTGTAATAATCCTCCATGTGTGACTTTCCAGGAGAAGGCTGATTTCAAATATTATGTACCACGGTTAAGTCACGTGCTGTATCATGTCCCTATATCTTATTCGGAAAATAGATGATACACATTCATAATAAAACTACTTAAGGGGCTTCCCTGGCGGCGCAGTGGTTGAGAGTCCACCTGCCGATGCAGGGGACACGGGTTCGTGCCCCGGTCCGGGAAGATCCCACATGCCGTGGAGCGGCTGGGCCCGTGAGCCATGGCCGCTGAGCCTGCGCTCCGCAACGGGAGAGACCACAACAGTGAGAGGCCCGCGTACCGCAAAACAACAACAACAACAACAACAAAAAACTACTTAAGAGTTAGATATGGAAGGGTGGCTTCTGGGAACACACGTGCTGTGGCGCACTGGGAAGAATACAGGCTTCAGAGCCAGAGAGAGGTAATGTCACATTCCCACTCTGTCGCTCACTATTTCTGTTTGTGGACAACTCAGCCACCCATAAAATCTGGTACTGTTGTACAGATCAGAGGTAACATGTCTAAATATTGCCTGGTATAGTGCTTGGCACGTAGTAAGGGTTTACTAAAGAACAGCTATTATTTTCATGGTTTGCTGAACTTTTGACCTTTCAAGTTCTTTTAGTTCTTTCAGACAACTTGCAGAAAACAGCCCAGTCAGAAGACTTGCCTTCAGTGAGATTATGGAACCCAGCAGCTTTCCTTTGACACTTAAATGGTTATTTTATACCCTATCCTGGCATATTTCCTTCTTTCCCTTTTTTTCTGAAATGCAGAGGAAGAAACGGGAGATGGTTTTCTAGGCCTATGATCTGGTTCTGGAGAACACTGTCCATCGTGGAGGTCTTCACTGTCTAAAGCCTGAGTGTTTAATCACAATTATACTTTTAAAATTGCTCTTACCAAATGTTTGGCTCTGAAAGAATATGATTTTACTGATAGCTTGTTTGGGTGGATTTGTGCTCTGAGATGGTAAGGCTGGTGAATTTCCAGGGCTCTTGTCTATTCATATCATCTACTCATATATTTCTATTCATGACTCCACTTTTAGCAGTGAAATAATGACAGGAAAATATTGTGAAGTTCTGAATGTAAATCTGGTCATTTCCAGGACTAACTGTAAAGCTTAGTCAAAGACTAGGCCTACTAAATGTGTCATACCTTTGTAGGCTTTTTGGGGAGAAATGATTGTGTCAGTATTCACTCCAAAATGGTTCTTAGATGATAACAGGAAATATTAGGGGAAAAGGATATGAAGAAATGTAAAGATGGATTTGTGCAGTTGATATCAGTGAATAAAATAAAGGAAAACAAACAAATATCTCTAGTGTTTTGTTCTAAATAAACTGGCTTTTCTTAACCGAGCAAAACTTTTTGAGCCACACACAAGTGCTTCATAAGATTGGGGCAAATCACAGTGAAGTTTTCCTCTCAAAATTATAAATGCCGTGTGCCAGAGTATATATTGGAGATAATCATAAAGTTCAGACTTGCATTCTTACATTCTGTAGTTAAGAAAGATTAAATTAAGAAATGCTAACATAAACAAGATTAGGTATATTTAAAACACACCAAATAATTTTTGAGGGGGTATATGAACAGATTCAATTTACTGTGTGCATATATTTACTCTGTGTGCATGTGTTTAGCAAAGGTGGAGGAAAAACCCAGTCTGATGAAGAATTATTGCTGTGTAAAAGTATAGGAATATCTCATTGGTCATAATGTTTATTGACAGGCACTTTCAGCTTTTAATTCATGTCTGAAAATTGGCATTAGCTTATTCCTATTGCCAGCACAGATTCATTTCACATGTGGCCATATCCATAGCACTCATCTTGTCAACAGGTAGCTACTGCTAAAAGTATTCCCTCTGGGATTCAACAAGAATAAACACCTGTAGAAGGTGCTTGCTTCTTTTGATAGAGAACTACTTCATGGAGGAGGAAAGTAACTGAGAAAAGAGAATAATTGCTAGATGCTTCTATTTTAGCACAAGTAAAATCCTTTGCAGCTGTTTTTCTCTTTTCAGGCAAAGACATTTTGAGTTTGGAATCAGTTGGCTGCAACTTAAAATGACTTCATTGCGTTCTAAACCATCCTGGCTAAATCGAGACAAGTGGCCACTCCGTTTTGTCAGGAAGCACAAGGGCTGTGCTCTGACAGAGCAGAACAGAGTCCCCATGGCAATATCACTAATCGTGTGTAAGATACACAAGGCATATCTGAACAAGTTTTTTTTTTTTTTATTGTGATGAAAACTAGAAGCTCTTTTTCCCAACATACTTCATCAAACTATTTACAACCTCTGTAAAATTTGTGAGTTTGAAAATACTTTTTCCACTATCACACATGTCACGAATACAGTAAAATATCTTCACTCTATTTCTTTAAGATGCAGTATCCTCCTGTTTCATTTTCTTACGCAAATCTGTATTTCTATTGCAGTTGCACAGTATTTAGCATATTTAAAGTACCAATGGACATGGGTTGCTAAACAGACATTATTCTATAATGAAACTGTGAAAATATAGCATTTTAAACTTTTATGTACACTTCTTAACTATAAAATGCAGGCAAAGTCATATATACCATTATAAGCTGATTCCCTAGTAAGGTAAATAACTTACATTTCTAGACAGCATGGATTATTACAAATTCATTCTTTTAAAAAAGTTCTCTGTTGATATTTATTAGCCCCCTGGCTGCTGCATATACAGGTGTGTACACAGGTGTGCATCTGTCGGGGGGGGGGGCCTGTACAGGTTAAGTGGAAGGCAGTGTGGAGATAAGGAGAAATGCGATATGGAAGACACATGGCTCACCAAACCCCTTTTCTAAACGAAACCAAATCAAGTTGAAAGATTTTTTTCATGAGGTGCACTACCTCAGAAAAGTGGAAGGCAGAGACCTGATCAGTGAAGTTGCAGAATACATTTACCTCCTAAATTTATAGGCATTAATTAGTAAGGAGCAAAATCTGAGATTGGATTATGGACTAGGTGTATTAAGGCTTCCTGGGCCTATTATGATTCATAAGAGTTATCTCACGTTCAATCCTTTACACAAAGATTGTAACTCAACGTATAATGAATGCTGGTATTCTTAACACTGCTTAAATTCTGTCAATCCTTACCGTAAATGTTAAGACACCTTTATAACAACATCATGGCTACATTTCTAAGCAGTTGTAACAATGTAACAAAGGCGTATTAATACATTTGAAGGCCTCACCTCACCAGATTTATTCAATTGCAGCTTTGATAAGTATAATAAAGTACAGAATAAGGAATACTGCATCTTTATCCATATACATGTTATCATTCTGATGAACTGATTTCAAAGTGCAGAATTATATGTTTAAAACACAAATAGCAATTTGAAGTTAAAACAACTGTATAAAAATGAACACAATCTTTGTATAAGCTATTCCAAATTTCAACCATTATGAGAAGGGCCTTTTCAATCATCTAGAACTGGCATTTGTAAACACTGTAGCATTTTGCAAGTTTTTCCCCCATGACATTCCTCTTCCTATTTTCCACTTAAACTTTAAAGTGAATAAAAAGTGCTCTTTTTAAAAAAAAATGTGGTTTATGTTATTGTTATTCAACTGCCTTTGAAAATAAATGTCCTATAGTGTTTTGTAAAAGTAATGCCAGGCAACAGTATAAATTTTATGGTAAAGCCATTAGCAATTTCAGTCTAAATGCCTTAATAGAACTTAAGACAAGTTATCAAGCAGGCTTCTCAAAGTCCACACGCAATTGATGGGATGGGGCTGGAAGTGGATGTGGAAGTGTGAATCTTTTCCCAAACAACCTAAGATCAGGATACAAGGAGGGAATCTATTGAAACCTCAAAGTCTGTACCTCTTAACTTTTCAAATAACCTTAACTTCCTTGAAATCAATCTCTAAAATGCAGAGACAGGTCAACTGTAGCTTCTCAAGCCATTGCAGCTACCTGTGTCTAAGTTCCCAAACATGCACATACGCCCAGCTGCAAACTGAATAGCTTCAAATTTGAAACCAAAGAATGCTTCTAGTTAGAGAACAACTGAGAAGTCCTTTGGATTCTACTCCTTTTCTGTTGTTAATCATCTACTGTGCTTTTAAAAAGAGTCTAGAATGGACATAAGATAAAATAGAGTAGGCTTTTCTATGCCTGAAGATATTCTTACTTAAAAATGTAATTCCTTCTCTCCCAAACTACCTTCTTTTCCACAGGGAAACACTTGTAGAAAATTCACCAAGGAGAATTTGTTGTGTCCCAAGACAAGCCCCAGGTAAATTTCAGTCCTGCGACTAGATCAGCAACTCATTCACTATTTGTGCTTGGATCCCTCCTTAGAAGTATCAATACATCAAAGGGGGGAAATGGCATAATGCTGACAGGTTCTATCAGTAAAATTACTGTCTCAGTTGGGTTGCCACTTTCAGGGGGTGAGCAGACAAGCTCACGTCCCTGAATTTTTCCTATGTTGTTACAGAGGAGCAGCTCATTTCGTTCTGTGCTAAATTTAAATCGAGCTGTCACTCAGGAGGCTCCCACTGCCTGTCAGTTCTATGAATTCTAAAAACCATTTCTACCTGTAACGCTCTCAAGATCTCTCAGCAGAGAACAGGATTGGCCCTTCTTACGAGAGCAGGCAGAGTCAAATCAAGTCTGCCCTTCACCTCAGTGATTCACCTACTATCTGCCAACTTGGTTCCAGGACTAGCATAGAGGGCTTCGCAGCTGTGTTCACCATGCCCTGTGTTCGTCATGCTGTGTTCTTTGCCACTGGCCAGTAACCGACACTGGCCTTTCTATTCAAAATAGTCACAGGCAATGAGAAGTAGGGGTTGCATACGGTACAGATAAAAAACTTTCCAGTTGGTAAAAAACCCCACAAAAACCCAGTGCTTGGTGGGTAGTACACTGTCGTAGCTAAAGAAGCTATTTATCCATAGAATTGCAGCCCTTGTTGGAGGGAAACTGCCAATGAATTTTTCAGACCTGGCAGGAAATGTAGAGCACATACTTTTGAAGGTAGAATTTGACCTGAAAATCATTATGCTGTTGCTTGAACATGAAAAAAAAAAAAAAATCCTTTTAATGCCATCCAACACAAATCATCCTTTTTCAATGTTTATAGTTTTTGCTTCACCAAAATAAGATTATCTGAATTAGAAGATAATCCTAAAAAGGATAATTCTAGAACCAGAAATTATTTCAGAATGTTCACACCTTTAAAAATGAGCTAGTAATATTGTGAGGTTGATTTGTGCAATTCTCCAAATCAAGTGTTTGTAATTAAAATATATTGCAAAGGTCTATGCTGGCAACTTCTTATACCTAAGCTATAAAAAAAAATCTTAATAATAACAACAACAACAACGACAAAAAAAAAAACCTCACCGAGCCCCTTAGCCACAGAAAGCTGAAAAAACCCAGCTTTTAGTGGGGAAAAAATATGATAATTTTTCTGAAAGAATGCTCATTGGTGATGTATTGCTTTGTTTACTATAGACTTTGCTAGTTGCAAAACGGGCTCATAATTTTTGGGGGCTGACGGGACTATAATTTCCTCTCACCCTCAGCACAGGATGAGTGGGTTCAATACCCCTGCAGGTGCCATTGCAGAACCACTGGGTGCTAATACAGTTTAGAAAATGAAATCTGTAGACAAGAACCTATTGGAGAGTCACTTATCCTTGGCTCTCCAAGGGAGGAAACTAGCACCGTGTCAGGCTTTCCCTGGGGAGCATTCCTTTCCCACTGACTTGGTTCCAAGAACTGACCCATTCACCCAAGAGTTAATTCCCTGCTATGCCTCCGTGGCCTTTCTAGTCACCAAATAACTGTTTTCAAACAAGAAAAGGGGGAGCATAATCTTTAATTGTGGTACTCAACCAAGGAGGACAACAAACAGCAGAAAGATTACCTCAGTGCTGCAAATGTAACCAAGACCTCTAAAATGCTGGGGTGTTTTTTTACAATCCCTTTAGTGAGTATGAAAATTGGTAACATGAGTCCTCAGTGAAGTTATTGTAGGCAAGTCCTTTTATTCGTTATTGCTTTTCTCCTCAAGAGGCGCATTATTTCCATCTCTGCTTTGTCTGATTTTTTCATGTTCACTGACTGCCTGGTCAGCCCCACCTCTTACCTTGGTGCCAGTGTGTCTAAGAAAGTTTCCCCCCTCCCCCCGATTCCTTGTAATCAAATACTAGGGGCAGGAAGAGATGATGCCTAGGTGACAGAACACTGCAATTTGAAGTGGGGCAGTAGTTTTTTTAGACAGGCTCTTCCTATTCAACTACAGAACAGCTCTGTGCCCGTCCATGCCAGGGCAGACACCAGGACTAGACTCCAACTGAAATGTCGCTGCCCCTCTGCTCGAACAGATGAACAAAACAGAAGCAGAACAAAACAAAAACGATCAACAACAAACAAATGAAAGAATCAATGTTGGTTTTCTCCAGGGCATGGATGGCATAATGACAAGTTGCGGGTGATATCTAGTGGCTGCCATCACTATTGCAAAGGGCTGCCTGAGCGCTCCTTTCTTTTCAGGTAATGGAACCTCTCCAACAGCTTCTTCTTTTCTACTTTCAGGCTGCTTGCTGGTAACAGATTGGAAGTGGGTTCTATCTTACTTAGACAGTAACTCAAACTTGTAAAAACGGGTTCAGGGGTGGGATGATGGGAGAATAATTCAAATTTACAAGGTCTTGCTCTAGCCATCAATTTGTGGTAGATGACCTTTAAAGTATCAATAACAAAACGTCCGACAGCTCAGAAAATGTACAAACTACAAACATCTTGAAATGGCAGAGGACACAGCACGGAAAACAATGCCTGTCTCTTCAGCATTTGTGTCACCGATCTCCCAGGCCAGCATGAAGTTGTTTCTCGTGTAGTCATGATGGGGGTTACCTTCAGACCGAAAGGAGAAGTGTTACTACTTCTTTTTCCTGCTCTGCTTTCAGACATCGTGGGATGGTGATGCCCTTTTGTGTTAACACTGTGAAGGGGATTCAGCCCTGCTGAATTGGGTGCCGCTAAGAGATCCAGCTCTTACACTCAGCTGGACAGGTAGCCTTCCTCACACCAGCATATGCCTCCGGCGGTGCAGTGCCAAGTGATCTGACCGGGAAAAGCTGCGATCACAGTCTGCGCACTTGAATGGCTTCACTCCCGTGTGTTTGCGGTAATGCCTCGTCAGTTCATCCGAACGAGCGAATTTCCAGGTGCAGCCTTCCCAGGTACACTTGTAGGGTTTCTCTCCTGGAAGAAACAAGGGGACACACACTTTGGTGCTCCATCATTTCTCCAGAAAAACCATCCCAACGTGATATTTGGGGAAATGACTGTTCTCAACGGATTTTCCATTTGGTAATCCTTTGGTTGGGAAACCTAATCACCCCACCAGCTGGTGTTGGGTCAGACAGGTGGCGGTTCAATTTCGTCTCTCTTGCTGTGACACTGGGCAGGTTAGTTAAAACTTGCATCCTCAGTTATGGGTAAGTTACTTTGCAGTCAAAATATCAAAAGGTATAGACTGATTGCTACTGGACGTAATCACCATGGTAGACTGGAAAGGCGTGTTAGGGAGCTCTACCTAGGTTGACTGACTCCAGGGCTAAAACTCACAAAGAACTATAAAGGGTAGTGATTTATATGTTTTGTTGCAATATTCCTCCAAACAGTGTATCACTTAGATGTTTAAAGGTTATTTTAGGGTACAATGTCCTTTTATCAGTCACACAAAATTTCATTAAAAGGTAAGCACTCTACCATCCCCAGAAATTAGGTATTAAGTACTTATTATTTATAAACATCTACTGTTTGTTTGTCTACTGGGAAAGAATCCTAGGTACCTTAATAGTGCAAGTTTCAACATCTTCTTCAGTGACTTAAGAATTAGGGCAAGCCCTAAGGAATCATCAAGTTGGTCCTAGTGTTGAAACCCACAGTAAAAAACAGTCTGAAGAAGTACGTAATTTGACCAGATCCCTCAGTCAACTCGTAAGGACAGTAAAATATGCAAAGGCTTTGCTGGGAAAAGATATGCTATCCATTGTCCAAAAGAGCTCCCTGGGGGAATGGGACAATAGTTGACCTAGGTGTGCTTTTTCCTGGCTCTCATTCAGAATGGAAGCGCTGTCCTCATGCAACCCCACAAGAACTGATCTCTCCTCTGCCGCTTCCATCCAATAGTCAACTAAATGCTGCTTAGCCACACTTGGTGTCTGGCGAAAGGGCCTAAGACAGGGAAAGGAGCTGTTTGCTGATCCCAATGTACAGAGTTGCAAAGTGACTTTTGTTAAATCCACTTCACAGATGAGAAAACTGAGGTTCAATGGAGTAAGGTAACTTGCCTGAGGCCAGTAAATAGATGTGTTTGGTTCCAAATGCAGCGCTTTTCACTGTGTTCTAGGGGAGTGGATAATTCTTTCCCCATCTAAACTCTGTCACATCCTTAGACAACATTGATTCCACCTTCTTAGGTACTTTCAAATTATTCAACTCCTATTTCTATTAAGTCGCCTACCACAATAGATCATACAGGTTTTGTCTAGATGTCTTTCCCCTCTACCAGTTTCTGAATACGCAGAGATGAAGAATCACGCCTCTACTATCCTCAGAGCTTAAAAGCATGTCTCAAACAGTGTTTGAATAAATTAATAAAACTGCAGCACACACAGACATGCTCACACAAAGGCGTGTACACAGGAAACTACTAAGCCCTGTGAATGAGAAGTACAGGTGATGGGAGAACTAGACTTGAACCAGACCCAGCAGTTTTTGTTCAACTGTTAAATAAATGTTAACCATAGGGGTCCTTTTAGGATCAAGTGGCCCTTTCACAGCAGTGAGGGAACAGTACAGCCCAGTTAAATCTAGAAATACAGACGCATTAACTGTGGCCCACAGAAAGCTCCAGGTTACTCTGAGAGGGCTCCTGTCAGGTAGATGCCTACTGACTGGATTAATCCAAAACCTCAACTTCCGACTCATTCTGGATGTCCTATGGAGACAAAAATCTGCATTTACAGGTGCCTACTGATCAGAATTCAACAGAAATTTTAAAAAATCAGCAAAACCCCTAACTTAAAAACAATGGCAATCCACCATACAGTATATCCATGGCAACTGTTAAAATGCTTTTATTTACATGTCATCACCATATGGTTTTTTTTCTTGAAATTTACAACATGAGCATGGGTTTTAATAAGCTGAGCTTGATATAAATCATATCTTCAAAAACACATCCATCTTTGGGGCACTGAGCTCAGCCAGTTGACTCCTTGTCACCAACAGGTATCTCCTAGTTATCTCCTGTGTTACTAAGGAACCAGCCACAGAGAGCATAGGCCTAAGAAGGAAAAAATAAAAGATTTTCTTAATTGGGGAAAAGCATTGTTCAGTTGTGTGTTAGGAGGACGTCTGTTTCTATCTTGGCGGGGAAGTGTCATCTGAGTATGACTGGGGTTAGAAAAGCTGCTGGACCCTCACCTTGGCATTGCAGATGGAGAGGCAGGAAGGGGCTCCATAACTGGGATGGGCCCGGAAGTAAAGAGAGGCAACAGAAGGAGACAGGGCTTCAGTCTCACCTCAAGAAGGATGATGGAGGCTGGTATGGCCACCGTAGGGACGTCCTGTTGTCTCAGGGGTTCTCTGAATTTCCTTGTACATCCAATTTCGGCATTTAATATTCTCCACATTCTTCTTCCAAATTATAATGGACATACTTTTACTTTCACTTGGGCTGTTTAATAACGGTAGTTGTGCCCTTTTCACTTGAAAATCTATAGCAGGGGTGGTAAACTGTGGCCCCCAGGCCAAATCTAGTCTGTGGTTTGTTTTCTGTGCAAGCTGCAAGCTAAGAGTAGTTTTCACACTTTTAAATGGTTGAAAAAGAAAAGAAACCCAAAAGAGGGCTCTCTCGTGGCATGTGAAAAGTATATACTTTTCATGAAATTCAAATTTTAGTGGCCATAAATAAGTCTTTATTGGAACACAGCCACACTCATTTGTTTGCATATTGTTTACGGCTTGCTTTCCAGGGATGGAGGCACTGAACACTGCAATAGAGAATGCATGGCCTGCAATACCTAAACCATTTACTATAGAAGGCTGGCCGACTCTTGATGTAAGGGATGGGCACCTCAGCTTTTGTCAGGCTTCCTGATTATGTTAACTTAATCAGGATATATATAACACACCGTGTTCGTTTGGGATGGGTGGGTGAGGGAATATTTTGGCTATAAGATAATCACTTATTCTTAACTCAGGCTCCTCGATTAAAATTCTAACTGTCCTCTTGGTAATGAATACACGTGATAGTTCATGTCCGATGCTTTAAATAGAGAGTTCTGGACAAGGAGAAATCAGGGATTCTCTGAAAAGGCTCACCCAATTCAGTCAGGGTTTTAAAAGCCTTCGGGATCTCCTCTGCTCATTATAAAAGCACAATAATGAGTAAGGCCTTCGCTATGAGGGTGAAGGGTCAGGAACGTCTCTATACACTTTACCCGCTAACCAAAAGAGCACTGATTCTACAGTGATGGAGCCCGACCCTGCCCTACTCCACTCCAACCCACCCTTTCAATACGGTTGTGTTACCATGGCCACCGTGCTCAGTGATGAGCTGCGATTAATTCTACTTAGTCTGAGGAGGACATAAGGAAGGAAGGATCAGAAAAGAGGAGCTCAGATGTTTGGCATCATTTCTAAGGTGGATGTCTTAAAGGCGGAGAGGCAGAGAAAGCAACAACTATGGCGAGGATTTCTGTGGGCCCACAAACGTGCAGCAGGAAACTCAGTGCAGAACCTGAAAAGTATTCTGCGAGGTGAAATCAGGTACAGTAAGTGCCTCCAAAATGCAAGATGCAGATACGTCCCTACTTCATGAGTAAAACCAGTGAAAATGATATATAAGCTTATAAACCATTAGGGGCTAAGTGATGAATGAAGGCACGTAAAAAAGAATGAACACATTCTCATCTAGGGGGTGGGGGGAGGGAGGACCTATATCAGAAAATAATAAACTTAATTATCTGAGTGATCGATGAGTTTTCCTTGAAGCTTTTCTTACAAAAATATATGCTTTCTTTTTAATATCCCCAAATATTTCTTGTATAATATTTCTTGCCCCCATTTCCTCACGAATAAAACCAGAGTTTGGGTATTCTCTCTCCATACTCAGAAGAAAGAAGAGGGGAAAAAAGAAAATAAGATCTTCAGATCTCTCTTCACAGCTAGAGGCTGAGCTATAGGGGTGGCTCCTCTCTATGGAGATGAGATGGCTGCTTGGACCAGGCAGAGAGCAGGCTTCTGCCCCTCCCTCAAGAGGGACCTCGGTTTCCATTATATCCACCTAGTGCCTAGCATTTCATTAAAAAAAGTCAATAAATTCTCTCATTGGACTAGTTAAGTTTTAGAAGTGGATACAAGAACAATGCTAGTGGCTACTACATTATGTTAAAACTGAACGTTATATTTTATGCTTGTGCTTTGAAGCTATTTAAAGGGTACAATCTTATAAACAAATTAAGATAAGAGACACTAACTTCATGATGTGAGTAAAAACTAATTAAGATGATAAATAAGTTTGTAAGATACACTGTAATATGTATAAATGAGCCCTGAAAGGATATAATAAAGAACAGACAGAATCCTTCCTCCATCCCCCCTTCTTTCCTTTAAATCTTGCTAGAAAACAGAAAGCTCACTTTAAAGTTAAAAAAGTCAGTGGTGAGGACAGAACGGTAGGTGAATTTTCCATGAACATTTTCCTATGGAAAGAGCTGGCTTGGACACTAATAGTAGTCAAGCATCTCCCAGGGTCTGGGCGGCTATTGTGCACAGCTGCTCTGTATCAGGCTGAATGGGGGTGACAGTAAACACTATTTCCAGTGATTTCTTCAGGAATAGTGAATGGTCCTTAAACTCATTTGAATTAGAATTCTGCAAATGTGTTATTCAACACTGTTTTCACTAGAAATAAGCTAAAAATAAAAAAAGCATGCCCACCTTTTTTGTTTGTTTGTTCGGTCTAACCCACAATTACACTTAGAATCCTCAGTAGCAAAGTCTTTGAAAATGTATTTAAATATTTTTCAAAATAATCAGAAGTTTTGGCTCCACCATCAGATCACCTTTGATTTTTGTTTCTTATATTAATCCTGTGAAATAAAAAAATGATAGGGAATGGTGTGGTATATGTCCTTACCAATAAGTCTTAGTAAGTGATTAAGTCGAGACATCAAGTTGCTAATGTA